CTGTGTGTGTGTGTGTGTGCCCCCTGGCTCTCGCCTTTACAGCCAAGAAAGATCTGCCTTTTCCTCTCCCGGCCTATGCGACAAACTTGCCGCCTCTTCTTTTCCGTCTTGTAGTGTGAATGGACTGTTCACAGACACGACGCCAAACCTCCGAGAGCGCGGCCTGACCACACCTCTCTCTTCATCCCCTACTTTTTCACTCTCTCATATGTAAAAATGCCTCCCTTCCCCTTCCTTCCCCCCCGCCCCCCCCTCCTCGTCCCGCGTCGATTCACAACCACGCTGAATACAGACTATACAGTGACTGCCGGCACGTCCCGAGGGCTCAGCCACCCGGTGTGCTGAAGCTACAGTACCGCCTACAGCTAGAGCCGCAAACACGACGCTCCTAAAACCACCTCCACTCTCTTCCTCCCTCGTCTGCCCGGCTCTCAACCCTCCACCTCCACCTCCACCACCTTCCTTTCTCCGTCTCCTTCCCCCTTGTGAGCTTCCCCTTGGTATCCCGTTCCTCCAAATCCTCCTCCTCTCTCGTCTAATCCCCCGCCGTCATTCGTTCTCACAGACTCTCACTGTCGCGGCAAAACCGCGTCTCTGATGCTGGAGCCTGAGCACCTCTCGCCGCCCGCAGAAAAAGCGCCCGAGCTGGGCTGCCACGCGTCGCCTACCGAAGCGAGCGATCACTGTTTAAAAACTACCTAATCATGGTATACACGGTAGGCCTCAGATTCCCCCGATCCTCCTCTCCCATCCACCTCCCATCCACCTCCCTTCCTCCCTTCCTCCCTCCCACTCCACCTCCTCCCCAATCACAGCTCGTTCGCCCTCGGCGTTTACTGGCAACGCCATGACGGGCGTCGTTGACGCTTATTACCGCGATATATACCGATTGTGTTCCGATGGCGCGACATGCACGACCGCAATGCCGCCCAAATATGCACGGTCCCCCGTCGCACGCTGCCGATGCAGGGAGGCAAACGCGCTCCCTCGTCGCCTGCAAAGCCGGCTGGAAGGCGCTTCGGCAAGGTCCGAACAAGGGCCTCGTTCGACACCACTACAAATGTAAGGATCCTTACAAAATCATCGTTCCACCACTCCCTAAATTGGCAGCGAAAATTCAACAGCGCGAAGACACCTCCTCCCGCTCGGGGCTCAAGCAAGACGAGGAGAGGAGAGAGGAGAGAGGAGAAAAGAGAAAAGGGCACTTTTTCAGAAAAGGAAAAAGAAAAAACAGGCGGAAAAAGTTGAAAGAAAAGACCCAGAGACAGAAAAGTGAGAGATTCCAGTCCCTTATAACGGTGCTGCTTTTCTCCGTCCATTGCACCGGCGCGGGAAAAAGTGACAGGAATCCAGCGGCCTAGCTCAGTTGGTAAGGCTCGCAAGTGGCATTCAGGAGGTCATTGGTTCAATCCCCGTTCCTGGGCTTACTTGGCACCCGCTACCAAAGAGATAGACCACTGGATCCCCCGAGGGGCCGTAAAAACACGGCTCTGGTATGCTACGGGTTTCCCCGTATGCCTATAGGTAGGAGTAGTGGCAGGTAGGTAGTGTGAGGAAAAATTGAGAGAAGAGTATAGTTTTAAATTTCATAAAAAATTTAAAAAAAAAAAAAAAAAAAGTGACAGGACGACAAATAAATAAATCGGGGGCCTCGCTCCACTACATACAACAACACTTTATATGCATCTGGTGCTCACAGACGTCCCTATACATTCCAAATGTTGGACTCCTCCAAATGCACCTGGTCCAGAAAGGCAGCCAAAAATTGAGTAGTGGATCCGACCCGCCGATAGGAGCAACACAACGTCCCGCGCTGGCACCGTCAGTCCGGTCTTGAGCTGGCACCGCCAGTCCGGTCCTGCGCTGGGACCGTCAGTCCGGTCCTGCGCTGGTACCGTCGGTCCAGCACCGCGAAGGTGGTAGGAGGGGGGATAGGAGGGGGGACTATAGTATAGGCGGCGCCCTCGGGCTATAAGCCCCTCTCGTGGAATGTTTGTGATTACGAGGAATGAATCTGCTCGCAAAATCTGGCCATGTGCGTGTGCGAGATTCGTTTTGACCAAAGCTAGCACCAAGCTGTTGGGGTTTACCAGTAGCCCGTCGCCCTCGTCTTCAGCTATCGCCAGACTTTCTGCTATTGCCTCGTGCCATAACGCAGGCTAGAAGAGCTTCTCATGAACCTGTCGTTTGTTCAGCCTCGGGGCTAGGTCCCACTTACACGACTTAAGCCATATTGACCGTAGATAGCAGAGATCACTGGCCAGAATCTTTTAATCCGTGCAAGTGGGACCTTGCCCCCGGTAGGTCGGCGAAAAGCACCTTCCAATCATGCTGAGTGATAATCCTCAACAATCATTAGTCATCTTTACAAGTACGTCAGCATCAACATCAGGTCGGTCCTCAGGGAACCACAAACTCATCATGCATAGACATACACAGCATGCAAGCAGAGAGTGAGAAGAAGACAGCACGCAGCGACACATCAGCATCCTCCCGAACGTGACAGGGCTTGAAAATATAAAACACGAAATACAAGCCCAGGAGCCTGAAGCCATAGCGAGCATCGTGCTCTTAATCATCAAAATGCAGACCAGGCTACCAGGCTGTCGGCGGATGACCCGACATGTTTCGTCCAGTCGCCGGAACTGGAACTCCTCAGGGGTCTACGTCAAGATGAGTGACAACCAACACATCGCGTAGACCAAACATCTAGGCTAGCGGAAGGAAATACCAGATACCTACCCTTAGCCACAAAAGGAGGCCGAAGAGGCCCAAAAATAGACCCAGCGAACATCAACCCAAAAAAAGTCATCAAGTCAGTCAACACTGATCCTAACCCGACCTTCCACAAGGCCTGCAGGCCTAAAAACATGCCTGGTCCAAACGAAAATCCTAACCGACCAAGTTCAAAAGCAGGCCCCTGGCCAACCAGTCAACACTGATCCTAACCCGACCTTCCGATCATGGCCTTGACTATTCTCGCTCGACCCAACCCCGAAACCGCCCCTTTGGCGGTTTCCATGCCCCCAAGCTGAGCCCACACCGCGGTATCTCTCTCTCCCTCTACCTAAACCATGTGGCTTTCAAAATGGTGAGGTAGAATCCTCATCCAAGCGCACATGCACATATATAATAAACGTTAGGGGCTCTGCTCCATTTTGAAAAAAATAAACCACCAGTACCTCGCCCAGCTATAAAAAAAAGTCGCGGCCGTTAACGCGCCGCGACTTTCAGGGCTCGGGGAAACCAACGCCTGGTCGGTGCAATTTCCCCCGCAAAAAAAAAAAACTCACGAAAAATGAAACTAAAAAGCATATTCTTCGTAAAAAAAAAGAAAAGAAAAGAAAAGAAAAGGGAAAGCGCGCAGGGGACGGGGAAAAGAGAGAGAGAGATGGAGAGAGAGAGAGAGAGAGAGCATCTGACAGCGAGTTCGCT